CCTGTGGGAGACTGCTGTGCATAGGCAGGGTGCCAGCATGGGGGTCAGCTTGGGTAAGTGTTTGGAGAAGGAGAGTTGGCAGCTTGAATCTAGGGGATGGGTTGTGAAAAGAAAGTGAATTTCAGCTTCATACCACTTTTTGTCACACACTTAGCCAGCTAAATCTGTGAATGAGTGGCTCACTGCCCAGGGGACACAGCTTTTTATTTTTTACTCTGTCAATATCTAGAACTTAAGCTCTTTCTGTGTCAAGGCTTAACAGATCTCACACCCCTGAGGGTAGATAGATAGATAGATAGATAGATAGATTTAGATCTGTATCTGCTTATATCCCTTGTAAGGAGGTATAATGAGAGACAAGACACAAAAACATGTGTGCATTAGACCTGCTCAGGAGGACTTCATGAGCCACTCTCCCATGATCTGTATCCAGCTCTATAAGCCATGGCCTCAACAGCACTAATGCAGCTGTTTCAGAGCCCTTCCAAAGAATTTGTAGTAAGAGCATAGCAAGATACATGATCCAGCCTGGTATCAACACAGTGATTTCACTGGCATTCTATCTATGCATCTGACATAAAGGAGGGCTGGTTTGAGTGTGTGAAAGCGATAAAAACGTGATGTGTAGAAAATGGGTTCCAGGTCCATGCTCACCTTGTGCCTTTTGACTCAGAAAAGGCCAGACCTGGCCACTGCAGATTCATTCGCTTTTTTTCTTTACTGTCCATAAAAATGCCTGTAATTAATTTTCTTTTTGCAAAGCACAGAGCAAAAATTTGACAAAGGGATTCTTTTTCTATTTGTTTTATAGCTAACTGTTAGGACTGATAACTGAAGCCACTTATGCATAGATTAGTGAGAGAATAGCTAAACCCAGTACCAGTTGTAGAAACTCCTGTGACACAAAAAGTATGAAAGTGAAACTAAAACAGGGGCATCTCTTAGGGAAGTAACAAAACTGTTGCTACATGGTCACAGTCAGGGTGACAAACTTAATGTCATGGTGAGAATTCAGTTAGATAATAAAGCAGGAAAAATATTACCAGTCTAAAGCTGGGCAAATTATTGACTTTTGTATGTTTGTGATTGACAGTACCTGCCTGCTGTAAGGGTCCAACCTTAACACTTGAATTAGCTGCCACAAGGATTTCTACTTGCATTCTGCTGTAAATGCTGTGATGGTAAAAGAGCCTGTCCCTTCTTTTCAACACTGGCACGAAGCACAAAGGCATGATGGAGACCAATGCACTGGACTAGCACAACAGAATCAACACCAAGTAGTAAAGCAACATACCTATTAAAGTTGACGTTAATGCTTCCTTGAGAGAAGGTTATCTAAACAGGTTACCTTGATTAAAAGCATGTTTCACGACAAGTAAGTTTATAAATTGAAAGAATCCAGAATTATGTATGAAATGTCATATGCGAGCAATTTTGCTGATGTATTATTAAACAAAATTAGTAGTTATCAGAATTTAGCATAAGAAAAAAACCCAGTTATTTACTAGATTCACTGGATGTTCAACTGAGTATTTGAAACTACTGAAAGATTTATCTTGAATTAACGACTACAGATGCACTTAGGAGGCTGTAAACAGCTGGGATGCAATCACCTGCAGCTCCGTACATGAACACATATACAATCTTTGTTCTCTAGGAATTAATACCAGGAGTCTTGTAAGATCATTGTGGCACTTACCTGGGCTATGTATGCAGCTTTCCTGCATGCAGAGACAAGTGTAGGCGACCACATGCCATAGGGATCAACTTCCATTTCCATTTGAGTAACTCGGGAGAAACACTGAGAAGTTACTGCAGTGCAAACTGAGGTAAAAAAGGAGAAGGCAGCTTTCATTTTTACGTGCCCTGGCAGCCAGGAGGGCCAACCCTGTCCTGGGGAGCATCAGGCACAGGATCACAGCCAGGCAAGAGAGGGGATTGTCCTGCTCTGCTCTGAGCTGGGGCAGCCTCACCTCGAGTGCTGGGGGCAGTTTTGGGTGACGCTATATAAAAAACCCATTAAGCTGTCAGAGAGTGTCCAAAGGAGGGCAAAGAGGATGATGAAGTGTCTGGAGGGGAAGTCTTATGAGGAGTTAACTTGGTTTGTGCAGCCTGGAGAAGAGAAGACTGCAGGGAGACCTTGTTGTGGTCTTCAACATCCTCATGAGGAACAGACACTGATCTCTTCACTCCCATGACCAGCGACAGGACTCAAGGAAATTACATGAAGCTGAGTCAGGGGAGGTTTAGGTTGGATACCAGGGAAAAGATTTTCACTCAGAAGGTGTCTGGACGCTGGAACACGCTCCCCAGGGAAATGGTAACAGCACCAAGCCCATCTGAAGCTTTTGGACAATGCTCTCAGGCACATGGTGTGACTCTTGGGGTGTCCTGTGCAGGGCCGGGAGTTGGACTCCTGATGGGTCTCTTCCAACTCATTATTTTCTTTGATTCTGTGATTTTTTTCACAGGCTTAGATCAAGCTTTTAGTCAGACACAGGGAAGCCAATTGTCTCTTCTCCCTCAGCAATGAGCTGCCAGAGCAAGCCAAACTGGTATAAATTGTCACAGTTGCTGTTGTGCTGAACTTGACTGAGGTTTGGGGAGGTCTCTTGTTTAAGGGGTCCATTCCAAAAGGAGTGTTCATACTATGACATTATCTATGTAATGGTCTTTGAATTGATTTCTTAGTGTCAGGAAAATTAATCCACAAACACCAGAGGTTTATGTCCAAAAAGGAGACAGAGGAGTCCTTTTTGCTTTATTGGAATAAAGGGAGAGTCCATGGGACATTCCCCTGGGATCTCTCAAATTTTTGGAGGACGCAGCCTCCTTTTTATTCTATTTTCCCGGCCGCATTTCCCTCTCTCTTTCCCCATCGGCTGAGGTACTTGAGAGGCACAGACTTCCCGGAACGCCTGATACCTGAAATTCCCCTCTAATCTATAACCCTCCCTTTTAATTTTTAATTCTTATAGAATTCATAGTTTTCCCCCCGTTGCTTCTTTCATCTTTCGATATCCAATTTCATTTATCAGCAGCCTTACAGTTTGTTTGTAAAGGCAAATATCTTTTTCCATTCATCAATCAGTGGAATCCATCCCATTGTTTCTTTTATCTCTCAGTGCTAGCCTTATCTACAAGCAGATCCACAGCTCATTTGTAAAGACAAATTCAACATTCCTCTCATTAATAAACAGAACAGAAAGAATACTGACTTTGCAGCTCAGGAGGAAGGGCTGTCTATGTAGACAGTGTCTGATGTGCAAAATAGTCACAGCATTGTTTGGGAGAAAGCACATGAGGGCTCTCTGACAGCAATGCCTTCTCTGCGGGACAGTGTTAACTGAGCACACACTTGTTCATCACTATTTCAGAGCAGGATTTTAAAGTGCTGAATACTGGGAGCCAGAGACCTGAACAGAATCCCTAAATCTGCCACCATGGAATCTCTTCTGAGTGAAGGTTACCTCCAGTTTAAGGCATCTGGACCAGCCGGAGGTTTCAGTTCCTCAAGAACCACGATTTAAAACTCAATCCAGATGAAAACTTCAGAGCTTCTATTAAACATTTTGAACACCGACTGAACAGGCCTATTTCATGTATATCCTTGCAGTGGCCTACAGTGGCCACAAAGAGGCTCTTGTCTCCCTTGGGGAGTGGGATGTGCAAAGTTCCTTCTCGGTCACTTGCAAGAAATTCTACAGACTATATTCAATTGTCATATATTTTCTTATCATCAGAAGACTTGATTTACAAACATAAAAATTATGTGCAAAGCTTTTGACCATGCTGAACATCACCCCCCCCACCCCCGCCAAAAAATAAAAGGTGTAACACCACTGCATAATGTGGAATATAAGGACTTGTGGTGGCTGTCTTGGCTTTGATGCAGTGAATCATGACTGTAAATATATTTACCTTAACACAAATATCATTTATTTTTCCCACAGCAAAATCAACTTTACTTCTGCTTTGAAAGCCAAAGATGTAATTCTGGCATTTAAAAAAAAAAAAAAAAAAAGAAGAAGAAGGAAAAAAAAAGGAAGATTGTATTTAATTTTTTTTTAAGAAAATTGTTACTTCGTTAGAATTCAAGAAAAAAAATTTTGCAATAAAACGTTAGGATTACTGTAATACACTCATAGTGCGGTATCACGCTGGGCCCCACAAAAAAAAAAAGGGAAATGTCATCTGTGATAACAGCGAAGTTGAGAAACTGCACCCGTTACACACGGAGTTATCGCCAGAGAAGTGACACTTTCAGGGTCTGCCCGAACAGCCTAACGCTTTGCAAATGCCAAAACAAGTCTGAAACGCTCAGATAAGTAGATGTGATGAGAAGTGATAATAGACCTTTTCAGAGGACAGAGAACACAACTGGAAAATACATCTCTAGCATGTGCGAGAGTAAGTTCCTGTAGCGCTGAGTAGATGTGCCGAGGAAAATGCAGGTCGATAGGTGGGAAAGAAAAGGCACTGAAGAGATACTTAAGCAGCAGGCTGATTGCCATTAAAACCCATATCTGCATCCTGTAGTTTTGTTTGGAGATTCTATTGACCGGGGGTTGCGGAGAACCTCCTAGCTTTTTATTTATTTTATTTTTTTAATTAATTTCCTTCCGGCTGCTGCCCCTGGTAACTCGTCTGCTTTATTTCCAGCTCGCTCCATCAACCGCACGCTGTTCCTGCCCCAGCACACAGGTGGGATCCGGGCCCGCGGTGCCGGGCTGTCCCCGTCCCGTCCCGTCCCGTCCCGCCCCGGCACCGCCTCCCGTCCGCGGGAAGGGCCGGTGCGGCGGCGGCCAGAGGAGAGGAGCGGGGCGCGGCTCTGCGCTCCGCGTTCCCCCGAGCACAAGCACCCCTCGAGGGCCTGCCCCGGGCAGCCATGGGGCACGGAGCCCCGAAGCCGCTCCGCCGGCCCCGCCCGGCCCGCCCGGGTGGAGCCGTGCCCCGCCCCGCCGCGGGAGGAGGATGAGGCGGCGGCGGCCCCGGCGGAGGCGGCTGCCCCATGGCGGAGGTAAGGAGGGTACGGGCGGCCCAGCAGTCGCCTCGGCCGAGCGAGGAGGGCGGGCGCCGGGGCGGTCTGGGTGGCCGTGGGGGGCGAGCGGTGGGGACGCGGAGGAGGACGCTTTTCTAAGCCAGGCACCGTCCCACAAAGAAAAAAAAAAAGGCCAGAAGGGACACACTCCTCCGGCAGTGTGCCGGGCTGGCCCGTGCCCTGCCCGTGTCCCGGGCTGTCCCGCAGTCTCTGCTGACCGAGCGACCCGCCCCGGAGCGGGGTCAGCCCCGCAGAGCTGCCCTGGCCCCGCACTCCCCGGGCCCCAGCGCTGCTGTCACCTGCCGGGCAGGGCTGCAAGGCCAGGACGGATAGTTCTGCTTGGCATTTCCTCCGGCATCGCCTCTGTTTTCGCTGTGTGGGCACACAGGCTTCTCAGGAATATCACGAGTGCAGCTTCTCCAGAGCGTTTCACATGGTGCACCCCTCACCTGGAAGTGCGGTAGCTACACTGGTCAGGAACATTTCTTACATGTCGAGGGTCTTGCTGTGCCAGGGCAAATCTCCGGGCTCCCTTCTTCTGCCCTGTGTGATCTGCGCGGCAGTTTTAGAGCTCCCCGTGAGTCAATGAGCACCAGCAGCGCTTAGTGACCAATTTCCAGTTCTGTCCCTGTTTGTTCGCTCCTCATGTGGCCCCTGCTGCGCTTCTGTCGCCTTGTGCCCGCTCAGGCACAGAGCGGGAGAGCTGTGCACAGCTGTAGCTCCTGCGGGCTGGCTTTTCCCGGTTAAATTGCTGTTGGGAATAGCGTTTCATTGTTTCCTGCCTAGTTTTATGATTTTGGACTTCTGTGGTGCGCTAAGTGGATACAAAAGGTAGGGGAAAGCCAAGACGGTGGGCTTGTGACTGGTGTTCAGTACATTTTGAAATACCAAGTTGAACTACCAACATTTTTCAAATTGATTTTGAACAATTGTGAATAGCTGGTTCTTACTGTGAATTAATGGACCATCATCATCTGGTAATTGTTCAATTTGTCATGCATGGTAGATTTTATTTTTCTTTTAAAATTTTCTTTTATTTTTTTTCCTTTTACCCTATTTCCCCATGTGTTAACTTGGTTATTTTTGTAAAGTAGTTGCAAAACTAGTTTCAACACCCTGACTGTAAGGGATAGTGGCGAGAAGATGATTCATTTCTTTGTTAAGTGTAGGTCTGGGCCTCTCTCTTTTGCACAATGCATTTAAGTGAAATAATGATTGGAGCAAGATAAGGCATTGTTCAGTTGTTGAAATATAGTGTAAAGGGACATCTATCTGGAAACCCCCCTGTCTGTTTCATCAGACGTCTTTTGAAGTACACGGCAGGTCCGGAACATGAAACAGATCAAAAAGTAGGTCTTTGTTTTTAAGGTGACCTTTGGTAGCTTTGATTGAGTCTACTTCTGCTGTCAAAATGTTATTGTAGTAGTATAATGGATTCCAGAGTGGTTCAGTTGATTTATAACCTTCAATTTGTAAAAATAGATTCATGCTATTTTTAGCATTTCTTGTCCACACTAGACCAGGACAAGAAGTCTATGTAAACAGATGGAAGCATTTGTTTTTTTCTGCTTGGTATTGTGTGGCATCATGAAAAGTTTGCAGCTGGATTTAGCCATCCCTGGATTGATTTTATTCATTGGACTCCAGTCCCTGCTGAGAACATTGCTGGCAGTGCAGTGCAAGCTATTGGTCCTCGTCCTTTGAGATCTGGTACTTGAAACTACTCTTGAAGGCCACTGCAGATGAAAATTAATTCGTGGCCAAAGCATGCTGTTGGAGCATACTAAACTGCAGGGGTTTGCCTATTTTTCTGTCCTGTGCTAAGATGAAATGCAGTGTTACAACAGCCTGAGCACTTTGGTTTTGACAAGGAGTAAAGTGAATAGGTGGGTTCCTACACTCAGCTTGCTGCCCAGCACTCTGGCATCAGCTCTAATCTTAGATTTCACTGCATTCCCAACAAACATTTCATTCTGTTTGTTTCTGTAATCAAACATAGGCTTGCTGAGGAAATGTAATCCCCACAATATTTCATCGCCTTAGTAATAAAAATAGCAAAATATATTTCCTCTGAAATACACTCTTTAATGGAGAAAATAATTATTCTATCTCAGTATCTTGCTACTCATTTTCTTAGATGAATGTGTGTAACAGGACCAGGGTTAAAAGTGTTTGTACCGCTGCAGAGACTACATTAAAAAAAGGGTTTTTATTCCAAATTCTGCACTGTCCATACTGCCCTGTCCTGTATCCCCTACAACAGGTCAGAGCAGGTGTTGGTAAATGTGCCCTATGGCTTAGGGTATTAGTTCAGCCTCTGCACTGTTGTCATCTGGGTCAGCTACAGAATCAAAGCTTGTAGGTTTCGTTCTCAGGGATGTTTAAGATTGAGACTAAGCTCCATGAGAACCATGAGTTTAGAGGAAAAGAAATTTAAAAGCAATAAACATTTGCTTTGGATAACTGGAAAAACATGCATCAGTTCATGCAAGGAAATGGATTAATTTCTGTGGTAATGAAAGGTGGTGATTCAGGCCCTACCTCTTTGCAGAACACCCAAGACCAGAGTTCAGGCTCCAGTGGGCATGTTTGCTAAGGAAACAGATGAAAAACCTAAAAGTGAGCCAGGTCTTTTCTTTGAGGTGATTATTTCTCATGTTACTTTTTTTTTCCCCAGATCCAACGGTGTTTGTGGTGTACCTAGACTTTTTCTTCACAGTTTGCTGGAAAAAGATATTGCAGTCCTGGTTGGTTTTGTTTGTGGTTTTTTTTAAGGAAGGGTTTATAAAAGGAACACCACTTGGTCCTTAATATTCAGCTCCTGTTTGAATGCTGACATCCCCTATTGAAAACAGGGTGCCTAACTTTTTTTGTCCTACTGAAACCTGCTCGCACAAGTAAGTCACATTGAGTAGGCCACATTGAATTACTCACACAGGTAAAGTTGGGCATGTCCGCCTGTTTTTCCCCGATGTACTTGTGAAGTGTTGTTGGATTGCCCAAGGAAATAGCTTATTTTAAGGAAAACTAAAACTGAAATTTAGAGGCACTGTGTAGCTGTGTACATTTTCAAGTTTTAAGCTCAGAAAGAGCCAAAAAAAAAGGGAGGCAGGAGGAAAGACATGTAGCTGACACTGGGTATAGGTCTTACATTGGTGGGGAAAAAAGAGAAGCAATTCTACTGGCGCATAACTTGGGTTACATTCCATGCCCCACTCTGCCAACTGCATTTTCCTTAGGCTTCTCAGTGTAACACTGCCTCAACAACACTTCTGAAAGCTCTTACACGGAGCCCTAAGTCTGCAGGAAAAATGAATTGGACACATTTTCCAAAGCGCCTTAAAAACTGTGTGGGGAAACAGGAAGTCTCAGTTACTGCAAGATGTTGCATCAGTCCTATATGTATGGTAATAGTACTTTCAGAGAAAGTCTCAAGAAGCTTGTCACACAGCAGTGTCCTAGCTGAGGGTCTTGCAAGGGCTCAGAATTGCTCTACTTGATTCAGTGATCTTCTTTTCTCTTTCTTTTTTGTATATCAGTATTTCTATGTGTTTATGTTGACATTTGTAGACATTAAAAGCGCAATGGTTTCTTTATCTTTTACAGAATATACATGGGAAAATATTTAGATTAGCAAGAATGGACTGTGTAGCTCTTCAGCTTTTTCTCTGTGTTAATCTTACAGTAGAAATGTTCATTCCAAATCACATGAACCCCAGGCACTGATGCTGTCCATGCCAGCAGAAGAGGCAGTGCCTGAATGAGAGCAGGAGTTGCTGTGCTGGGTCATTGCGTTCCATGTGAAAGAGGCTCCAGCTTGGGGTGGGACGGAGAAGGAAGGTTCTGCTCCCACACAAATCAAGTAGGTTTGTTATATCTGAATGTGTTGCATTCTTTCAACAGATCTTTGAGGCCCTTCCCAAGAGCTGAATTCCTAGACTTGATTAAACAACACATGCTCTAAATAATAATTAACAGCATAACATTGCTGTTGTTTATGAATTACAAAATTTAAGGAAGAAGATGCACAGTGGATAATTTGTATTGTTTGTACTGTTGTCTCTATGTTACCTTTTAGAAAGGGCAGTTTGAGTCAGGTTATGTAACACCTCATAGAAGCACAGTTCTTTGAATGCTGTCAGAGGCAGAGTTTTATGGTATTAAGCACTGGAAGGGGGGAATCCATCTCAGACTTTGAACCCATTTGAAGTATTTATATTGAATGAGAATAATTTGAGTTACGGTTTTTGATTTTTTTCTCAGTGAGTGTCAAAGTTTGGTAAAGTGAAAGATAAGTAGGAACCACGTAAGCTTTTCTCTGAAGGTTTTCTTCCAAAGGCTTTTCTCTAGTCCATATGAGAGCTTCCCACTGAAGCTGTATGCTTTACTTACAGAATATATTTCAAATTATTCTTTTCTTTTTTTTTCTTTTGAATTCATTGAGCAGTAGGACACGGCAATATTGCTGTGGAGAGATGTCTGGAAATAGATAAATGGGCTGGGTCCCTGCTTGTGAATGGCCCTTACCTGTTAGCCAGAACTCACCTTAAGGAGGTGGGGAAGGACTTCATGGTGTTTCAGATAGAGGTGTGGCATAAGAGAAGAACCTCAAACTTAGTCTTGCAAGGGTTTGTAAAAGCCTAGTCAAAGGAGTGTTCAGGAGGGTGTTAGAGGAAGTTGGAGTTGTGGTGTAAGGCTGACTTACACCAGCATTTCCTGCTCTCTGGAGAGTGGCCAAGGTATTCCCAGTGCAGGGTGTGCATGAAAAGTGCACGTGAGAGTAGATGAGGGGAATATCAGGCATAAAGAAGGAAGAATTAGGGTGTGGTAAATGTGGAAAATAGAAGAGGAATTACAGGTGAGGGTCAGAGGGAAAGTGAAGATACTGAAATCCTGGAGGAGCTGAAGTGTCAGACTGTGACTTTTAACAGTACTTCCTATTCAGAGCTGTGAGTTGGCAGGCATTTGGTGTTGCAAAG